AAAATGGACCCAAAACCCCCCAAAAATGGACCCAAAACCCCCCAAAATCCACCCAAAATCACCCAAAATTCACCCAAAACCCACCTGGGATCCCCCAAATGGACCCAAAACCCCCCCAAAATGGCCCCAAACCCCACCTGGAGACCCCCAAAATCCACCCGAAACCCACCAAAAATGGACCCAAAATTCCCCCAAAAACAGACCCAAAATCACCCAAAATGGACCCAAAATCACCCAAAATGGACCCAAAACTGCTCCAAAATGGACCCAAAATCCCCCAAAATGGACCCAACCCCCCCAAAAACGAACCCAAAACCCCCCAAAATGGACCCAAAATCCCCCAAAATGGACCCAAAGCCACCCAAAATCCACCCAAACCTCACCTGAGACCCCCCAAAATCTGCCCGAACTCCCCCCAAAATTGACCAAAGATGGACCCAAAATCCCTCAAAATCCACCCAAAACCCACCAAAAATGGACCCAAAATCCCCCCAAATTCACCCAAAACCCCCCAAAATCCCAATGGACCCAAAATCCCTGTTTTTCGCCCCAAATCCAGGATCGGCCTGGCCGTGTGCGAGGCTCTGGGCGTGGCCGGGGCGCGGGTCCTGCTGAGCTCCCCCAAACCCCCCCTGGGACCCCCCAAATTCACCCAAAATCCCCCAATAATGGACCCAAAACCACCCAAAATGGACCCAAACCCCACTTGGGACCTCCCAAAATGGGCCCAAATTCACCCAAAATCCACCCAAAACGGAGCCAAAATCCCCAAAAATGGACCCAAAATCCTCCCAAAATGGACCCAAAACCCCTCCCAAAATGGACCCAAAATCCTCCCAAAATGGACCCAAAACCCCCAAAAAATGGACCCAAAATCACCCCAAAATCCACCCAAAGTCCACCCAGAACCCCTCCAAAAATGGACCCAAAATGGACCCAAAATCACCCCAAAATCAGCCAAAATGGACCCAAAATCCCCCAAAAACGAACCGAAAACCCCCCAGAAATGGACCCAAAATGGACCCAAACCCCACCTGGGACCCACCAAAAATGGACCCAAAATCCACCCGAAACCCACCAAAAATGGACCCAAAATCCCCAAAAATGAACCCAAAACCCCCCAAAATGAGCCGAAAATCCCAAAATCCCTGTTTTTCGCCCCAATTTAGGATCGGCCTGGCCATCTCTGAAGCTCTGGGCGTGGCCGGGGCGCGGGTCCTGCTGAGCTCCCGCCACGCCCACAACGTGCAGAGGGCGGAGTCGGAGCTGAGGGGGCGGGGCCTGCAGGTGAGGGGCGTCACCTGCCACGTGGGACACGCCCCCGACCGACAGCGCCTCCTGCAGGCCGTGAGCCACCGGGGGGATTTTGGGGCCTTTTGGGGGGTTTTGGGGGGTTTTGGGTGATTTTGGGTCATTTTGGAGGGTTTTGGGTGGATTTGGGAGGATTTGGGTCCATTTTGGGGGGTTTGGGGGGGTTTTGGGTGATTTTGGG